CCCTTCTACACATACAACTGCTCTGTGAATGACTTCTTGTTATCTGCTTGTCCTGATAATACACTTTTGCCAGAATCTTGTTCCTTTGATCCAACATGTGCAACTGTCCTTTGTGCCAGCGGATTGATCTTTTCCAAGCTTGTGTGAAGAGGTACCTAGCAACCCTAAGCGCCACTCTTTTTAACGGAATGCTATCGTCTTTTGGATAATCCTGTCCTCCCCATGAACGAATACTCTACACATGGTTCTGCGGTCTCAGTTTTAGACATTGGTTCCTGAGCGTTCACACTCACTGAGGAGTGACCATGGCCCAGTTTCTGAATCTGTACAATCAACATGCTTCTGTTCTACCTCACAGGCCTGTTGTTGGTCTCAGTGAGATCGTAGCTGTAAACTTAAGCCTATATGTTGCAAATTACAGTATATGTCTGTCAGCAACAGGAGCATACAGCTGTCTGCTTGGCACACCTGTGAGCTCTCTGCAGCTGTATTCCATACTCTTTCATTTGGCAGCCAATTGTAGGGAGTCAGATGCATGTACGGCTCACGACCAGCATTTTCAGTGACCGTGTCAGCACAGCGATTACTCAGGCATTATCTTAATTTTAAAAAAAACAACATCACAACATCACACATTATCTTCCTGAACTAATAGTGGCACAAGATAAGTGAATTGCCTACTGCAGCTGTAAACTGCTCTCGTGCCACAGCCGTTTCAGGGAAATTCATGCTCCATAAAAAATGGTATTACATACATGCTTTGAGGATGCACACATGAGACACATATAACCTTTCCTGCCCCCAGACCTTTGACTGTCCGGATGCTTCATGAAGTCACTTGTAATGATTCAGGTTCCTTTCAAGGACAGTGCAAAGTTGTAAATCATATACAGTATATATATATTTAGATTCTATCTCCTAGAGTCCCCAAGCCAGCGTGACTACTGGTCAGAGCCAAACAGACAGTGAAACATGTCTGGGAAGTGAGTTAATTGACCTGAGAGAGGGTTTTTTTTACTATTCCGTGTAAAACTGCAGCATGAAAGGCCTGTCTGACAGCAGCAGCAGCTTCATGAGGATGGCAAAGAAAGATGCATCAACCTGGAATAAATTTTGAAGGGAGAATGCCTAACTTTTTTGTCAGTCACCTGGATAATTCCATGCAGTGGGCCCAAGGGATTAAGCAGTGTCAACCCCTATGAAGGAGTCCATGCAACTGGGGGGCAGGTGTGGCACCATAATCTTCACCACACGTTCTTTCATTTCTAGTTTTATGCTACTGTCTGTAGGATGTTGTTGGAATTTAGATTCTATCTCCTAGAGTCCCCAAGCCAGCGTGACTACTGGTCAGAGCCAAACAGACAGTGAAACATGTCTGGGAAGTGAGTTAATTGACCTGAGAGAGGGTTTTTTTTACTATTCCGTGTAAAACTGCAGCATGAAAGGCCTGTCTGACAGCAGCAGCAGCTTCATGAGGATGGCAAAGAAAGATGCATCAACCTGGAATAAATTTTGAAGGGAGAATGCCTAACTTTCTTAATGCATGCCATTTTTTGTCAGTCACCCGGATAATTCCATGCAGTGGGCCCAAGGGATTAAGCAGTGTCAACCCCTATGAAGGAGTCCATGCAACTGGGGGGCAGGTGTGGCACCATAATCTTCACCACACGTTCTTTCATTTCTAGTTTTATGCTACTGTCTGTAGGATGTTGTTGGATCTATGCTTAGCATATCCTCTAAAGCAGTGCTTCCAAACCTTTGATAACCCAGGTGTTCTTGAACTGCAATTCCCAGAAGCCTTTTACCACTAGCTGGGCTGCCCTGGCTTTCTGGGAGTTGCAGTCCTGGGTCACCCAAGGTTGGAAACCACTGTTCTGAAGTTTCCCTAATCATAAACATGTCTGCCTTTGCACATGTATAGTTTATCTTCCTCACTGAAAGAAACTGAGATCCCACAGAAGGGCAATGTAGGTCACATTATATTTACAAGCAGTCCATCATTAGAAGAGGGAATTCTGCCAAGCACTGAAAGACATTTGATTGTCACAGCAAGAGCTTTTCACACCTCGTGTAGATGGCAAATGGGACTGCGGTGTTTTGTGACTGGTTGTTGTGAGATCAGTGCAAATGTTCTTTGCATGTCTGATTACCCAGTCACAAAGATCTGCTTGAACTTGTTTCTGGAGCACTAACAGATTTCAGCTACTTATGATGGGTAATTTGTAACATATGCTTTAGTTCTATGACCTCTCCTGTCTGCAGAGATGGCTAGGGCAGATAGATTATTTATAAAAGTAGAAATTTGAGTCTGTACTGAAAATGCTAAGATTTGGTCAGTGCAGAGACCATGCTGTACAATATCCCAACTCTTCTCTCACCATACCTTCAGTGTTGTGCTATACCATTTCTTCACTTCTGGACTGCACTGATGTAGTTATGCACTGATCTGTCCTTTCCTCCCTCTTGACTCTTGAGAGGTGTGATACAGTACTTGTTTTCTATAGGTGTGGAAACCTGTTCAGTCAAATGGATTAACAGACAGAAATGCTGTATGGGTCACTGCACATTGTGCTATATTACCATTTATCCATGTATTCTGCTCTTTTCTTAACATTAACTGTATTTTAAAGGACATCTTCCATTTTCCCATCTGGCATAAAAAACAGACCATAATTACAGTGCAGTACTTGCTTAATAATCAAAAGCGTGTCTTTGTGCAAATATTAGGTGCAATGAAGCCCAATTTAACCATGCTGAAAACCTGCTGGTTTCAATTGAAGAGCTAACTATACGCTCAGATAAAACCAATTGTGTAGCTACCTGTGTTTTTATTCCATAATGGCTAATAGTATGTGTGGGGGTGTGTGTCAAGGCAGGTGGTGCAAGAGAAACAGGCTTTAGAAACAGGACTCCAGGACTGCAAAGCTATTGCCACCAGTAATCTTTTTTTTTTAAAAAAAATAATTTTTAAAAAAAAAACTTTTTTTAAAAAAATATTAGGACCAAGAGAACCAATAGTGGGTTTGTCACAGCATGACTAGTCTTGAATTTAGGAGTGCTTTGGTGGAGTCATGCTCAATATAAAACAATAGTTATATCATGGAAACATAACTTTGGGTTTGATCATTCTTTTTCTCTGGAATATTTTCCAGCGGGAACAGGCAGGTATAGTAGACTTCCATAAGCAGTTTTTCTTTCTTCAAAACAAAGAGAGAGGGAAATATTTTCTGGGAGCCTTGTTGTTGTTGTTGCTGTTACATATATTCCCTGCCTCCCTGGCAACAACAACAACAACAACAACAACAACAACAACAACAACAACCAACCTTATCTACACTTTGGAAATAAATGTGATGTATCTACACTTTTGAGGAATTTTGAAGCTGAACACTTTTCAGCGAATGATTGGAAAGATTCTGACCTTTCAGAAACCAAAGGTCTTTTGAAGTCATATAAAACTAAAACTGTACTGATATGACTACACTTCTGACATTTAAAATGTGACAATTAATAGATATTCTTCCTCCCAATTAAAAAAAAATCTACAATTTTAAATTTCAGCACGCCTTGAGTCCGCACCACCTTTGCTTTCCCGTACACAGTGGTAATCTCAGTGTATTGCACTCATGTTTGTGTCCTGATCAGGGAAAGAGAAGTATTCCTGAGCTGTCATTGTAGTTAGACAATTGCAACACTTATTACTTTGTACTCACACTTAAATCTTTTTGATTATAAGAGATCTCCTTAATAAAACTGCCGCACACAACCTAAGGTGTATGCTTTGTTTGTGACTTTGGAGTGCTAATTGGGATGCAGAATTCTTTCCTCCTAAGATGAAGCCCGTTCCTTATCTAGAAGGAGTTTCTTGAGAGGCAAACATGTATGCTTGCTTATGATGGTTCTTTCAATGAGAAGGCAGGACTGCTATTGGAAAGGTAACTGAAAGGTCAACAGTGACTAAATTTGCATATCCAGATTTGGAGATATACCCAACAAAACAAATCATGTTACTGAGGAGAAAAATGTGGGCGCAAGGAAGACTGCATGTGTGTTTTATCCCTTAAAGGCATTTATTTGTGTGACTGAGTTAGCTATAGGGCTTTGTTGGTGCAAATGCCCTGGATCACTGGAACATAGAAATTTGGCTTGTGCCATCTCAAACCTTTGTCCTGCCTAGCTCTATATGACCTATTGTGAACTGTGATCCTTCAGCGGTTTTGGCCTTCCTTCATCCCCAGCCTGCAAAGCCAATGGTGAGGAAATGGGAAACATAGGACAAGAGCATCAACAACCTCAGATGTGCAGACGATACCACTCTGATGGCAGAAAGTGAGGAGGAATTAAAGCACCTCTTAATGAGGGTGAAAAAGGAGAGTGCAAAAAATAGTCTGAAGCTCAACATCAAAAAAACTAAGATCATGGCCACTGGTCCCATCACCTCCTGGCAAGTAGAAGGGGAAGATATGGAGGCAGTGACAGATTTTACTTTCTTAGGCTCCATGATCACTGCAGATGGTGACAGCAGCCACGAAATTAAAAGACTCCTGCTACTTGGAAGGAAAGTGATGACAAACCTCGACAGCATCTTAGAAAGCAGAGACATCACCATGCCAACAAAGGTCTTCATAGTCAAAGCTATGGTTCTTCCAGTAGCGATGTATGGAAGTGAGAGCTGGACCATAAAGAAGGCTGACTGCCAAAGAATTGATGCTTTTGAATTGTGGTGCTGGAGGAGGCTCTTGAGAATTCCCTGGACTGCAAGGAGAACAAACCTATCAATTCTAAAGGAAATCAATCCTGAGTACTCACTGGAAGGACTCACTGAGGCTTCAATACTTTCCAGAGAAGACTCCCTGGAAAAGAACCTGATATTGGGAAACTGTGAAGGCAAGAAGAGAAGTGGACAACAGATGATGAGATGGATGGACAGTGTCATCAAAACTACCAACATGACTTTGACCCAACTCCAGGAGGCAGTGGAAGACGGGAGGGCCTGGCGTGCTCTGATCCATGGGGTCACGAACAGTCGGACACGACTTAACAACTAAACAACAAAAGGTCTACATTGGCTGGCAGTTCTGCAGGATTTCAATCAATAACCAAGAGAGACAGAGCAGTGTAGTTATAACAATGTTATACCAGGGCACATGGAGCCTGACGTCAAATCCTCACTCAGCAACGGAGCTCATTGGATTGCTGCAGGCCAGCCACATACCATCATGTATCTCAGCCTGCACAATTTCATAGGGCTGTCATAAGAATATAATAATCATAGATTTGCAGAGCTGGTAGAGACCCTATGGATCATGGAGTCCAGCCCTTGTCAAGGAGGCACAAGTGGGGAATCCAACTCCCAACCTTTGTCTCCCTAGCCAGATGCCTCAACCTCTGAGCTATCCAGCAGTTCATCATGAGGTGCAGGACTATGCACACCATCTTGAGCTCATTGGAAGAAAAGCAGGATACAGAGGTAACAAATACCAATTAGACTTGCAGGGAGATATCAAGGCTTAGCTCTAAACTACATATAACCATTTAAAATGCAATGGCATTCTCTCCACCCATACAAATATGCCTGCATATGAAATACCAAGATGTGTTTAATACGTGTCATTTGGCCCTAGCATGAAGGGTTGTTATCCCAATGGACTTTCATCTCTCCTCTTCTCTAGTAGAAATGTTTAGGTACAAACGTTGGCTAGAATGTCTAAGGAGTATTCCCCCCCGCCCCGAGTCATGGGATCAATATAACAGGCTTTGAACTGTCTTGAGGGAAAAAAGCAACATAGGAAACATGGGTCAGGAAAATACATGCAGGGAAGCTCATTGTTTTCTTTATGCTTACAACGAAGGCCTAGTCCATCTTAAGACCAATGTATTGAGGAGTAAGGTTTAACTCCTTGCCAAATGAACAGCTCATTTTTCTAAACCCTCCACCTTGTGGGAGCTAAAAAAAGAAAAAGAAAAACTCCACTGGTACAGTTGGATGATTTTTAGCTCTAAAGAGGTTTCATTTAGGGCATGGAAAAAACTTGTACAGAGAGGAGATTTAATCTGGATGAGAGCCCTGCCCACTGAGTTGTAAGAATGAATGAATGAAAGGAAGAAATGAGAGGGTTCTGCTTCACGCTACCTATTTCATATATGATGTGGTGTGTAGCCCCTGACGGGCAGCCCTATGGCCCACAGTGCAAGGCCTAAAGCTGGGTCAGATGCCTGCAGTCTGTAGGAGACCCGCATTTTCCTCATGGGACTATGCATCACATAAGAGGACAGTGATCTAAGTTGTGGCTTTGCTTCTGCAGCATGTAAAGACCTTCTACAAGACGGACAGACCGAGAGCCAGGCACACTGATTTGTATTGATGCAGCACTCAATTCACAACACATGAGCATTAATGCTGCAAAAATGAGGATCCCAGTACTAAAGCCCAGAATCCAAACAGATCATGGGGGATGTTCATGAGAAACAGGATGAAGATTAGCTTGCTGTGGTTCAAGTCCTGTTACACCAGCTCTCTTACTTTTCGGTAGCAGGGGGTGGTCAACCTCTCCACTTTCCAAAGGCCACATTCTTTTGTGAATAGCCAGTTGGGGGCAGAAGTCAGTGGTGGGCTGGGCATGAGGCAAAAAGGACAAAGCCTTTCTCTCTCTCTCACCCGCACACCCCTTTCTCTGCTCAAGCTAGATATTGAGGAGAATAGATGTTCCTTGCAATCAACCCATTTCTCTTCCCTCAAGAGGGTATCTGTAGAAATCATAGCTTTCCAATGATGCATAACAAAATAATCCCTCATAAAGATTCTGAGGAAAATCACATGCTGTGATAAACAGATCTTTCATCTATGTATTTTTGAAGTATTTCACGGCTGAGATCTAATGGTTGTTGTCGGTTTTTTGGGCTCTTTGACCACAACAACCATCAGATCTTCCATCATTT